TATTCTTTTCAGTATATAAACCAGCTGTGTTCATCTCATTATTATATGCTTTTCTAATTCATTCGTCTATTTGTATATATCATTACTCTTTTTCTAAATTATTTTTATTTTCATACTCATATGGAGGTCATATTATTATCACCTCAACACTTTTACCCCAATAGTGATATAAACAATCAAAAAATAATAATTAAAAAAATACTAATTGCAAACTAAAAATAAAGTGCATATATCAATCTAAACTTTAAATAAAAGCTAAAACCTAGACTAATTAAAACCAAATGCATACAGTTAAAAATACTTCTTCCTTTTTTTTCTTTTATATTACGATTCAACTTCTTTTTCTTTTTCTCTTAATAAAAGAAAAAGAATATTAACTATTAAGTAGTAATCAAGCTTGCCTTTAGACAAATATAAAAGTATCATGTGAATTTATTTATTACCTAATTTGGATAACCAAAAGGTTGCAGGATGACAGAGATCTTTCTCTTCACCAACATAACGTTTTGCTCAAGAATATGTCATGCATTTCCACACCACATCCATCATGGAACTCATATATTTCAATAATACCTAATCAAGAATGGTATAATAATAATATGATACCCTATCCATCAATCCTTATTCAAACACAAACAAAAAGAAAGGTAATACATAAAGACTTTTTGACTGGGTATCGCCTTTTGTCAACCAAATCATGAACTGAAAAAAATACAAACAGGTGGGTGTTTTAAACAATTTATTAAACAAAATGGAGAAAAAAGCTTTCCATTCTTTTACTCTCAGGTTTTCTCCTTAATTTCATACTTTCAAGTTTTTTCACAACTTAAAAAAAGATCTTGCTTATCGGGTGCTCGCTTAAGCTAGCCTCCAAAAGTCCCCTCTAAAAAGGTCAAGAGCTCATCTATTTAAAGAAAAGGTAGCTTAGTCTTCATCGTGGATAATGAGCTCATGGGCACATGGTGGGCACAATGAGGAACATTGAGTTTCAGCTTAGGTTTCACGCTCTCGAGTTTTCTCACAAGCTAAAAAAAAATCTTGCCTTTCGGATGTTTGCTCAATATAGCCCCAAAAAGTCCCCCCTGAAAATGTTAGGAGCTCTTATATTTAAAGAAGAGGTAGTTTACTCTTCATCATTGATAACAAGCTCACAGACAAATGTTGGCCACCACGAGGAACATCGAGTTTTCCCCTTGTTCAACCCACTTTCCTTTTCTTTTCCAATAATATTGGGAATGCCTTCTTTCCCCTTGATCTATCCTGACCTAGTTTTATTCAAATTCAGTTAAAACCAATAATGATCTCTAATAAGGTGGATGATTTTACAAGCCATAATTTTTTTTTGGGTTCATTTTTACCGAAGTTTAATGTTATTATTTTAACATAAATTATCACAGAAGTTATTTTTGGAGGAGAAACTATGCATTTTTTGGGATTTGCGTGCTCCTTGGTTAGAACCTCTAAGGGGTCTTAATGGTTTAGACTTGAGTAGGTTGAAAAAAGACATACAACATTTGCAAGAACATTGTTCTGCAGAATATATGACTCATGCCCCTTTAGGTTCTTTAAATTATGTGGGTGGCGTAGCTACCGAGATCAATGCAGTCAATTATGCCTCTTTGAGAAGTTGGTTAGCTACCTCTCATTTTGTTCAAGGATTCTTCCTATTCGTAGGTCATTTATGGCACGCAGGAAGGGCTCGTGCTGCTGCAACGAGATTTGAAAAAGGAATTGATCGTGATCTTGAACTCGCTCTTTACATGACCCTTCTTAACTGATACATGAGATTCAATTTAGCAAAAGTTATCAATTTTAAATTTGTTTGCTTAATTATTAATAAAAATGTAATATTATATTACTGGAAAAAATTTATAATATTTTTTTAGTTCTTTCTAAATAATAAACTTGAAATAGATATATTTGGTTTTAGAATGTTTTTATTTTTTGTATTCTTTTAACAAGTAATTAGGCAGAAAAAAAAGAAGTCATATTTTGAGAATATAGGATTAGATCAAATTTCAATTTTATGCAATTTCATAGACTTAAAGTTGTCTTAAAAAATGTTTTAAATGAATTAATCAATATTAATACATAATGTTCGTATTTTTGAAAAGAATTAATAAGATAGCAGAAAATGATATGAAGGTGTCTTACATCACAAATAAATTTTAACCAACTAATCTGGAAATAAGAAGTTCCAGATGATCTTTGTTTAATAAAGAACTTTCAAAAATGCAAGTAACAATTCCATATTCCTCTAAAATATAAATGTATTTTGTCGTTTATGGATAGGCAAGTGATTGCATCAGCTTACAAACACGCAGACGTGCTGCATGCGGAACACGTGTGAGGACTTGCCCGTTTTCCATCCTCGTTCCGTCCACGTCAACGCTCCTTTCCCCAACCCGACTTCCTCAATTCCACGTTACTTTTGTTTCCCGGAAACTCCCGTGATAAAACTAAGCACATTCATCCATCGACTATATCAATGGAGTCTGCATTTTGATTCCCTGGTTAGCTATTTAACTAGGTGACCTAAACTGTTGATTCGAGAGGGAAAGAGAAAAGAAAAGAGAGGGAAAAGGAGAACCATGGCAGAAGTTTGGGTAACCATGGATGTCGGGAACGACGGCGTTGCAATAATCGCTATCAGTAATCCTCCTGTTAATGCCCTTGCCATTCCAAGTGAGTTGCTTGTGTTCTTTTTTTTTTCCTTTAAAGTTAAATTTAAAAAATAGATTTTTCTAATTTTGATCTCAAATTTTGGCGAGGAATTATGCAGCGAAATTTCGTTATTATTGGTTGTTGTATGACTTGTTTGAAATCTGGTACTGCAGTTATCGCTGGACTGAAGGAGAAGTTTGATGATGCAGTTAGGAGAAATGATGTTAAGGCTATTGTTTTGACGGGTAAGGTCGATTGAATGTCTCGAGAGCTTTAGTGTCTCTTTTTAGATGATAGCATGTAGAAATTAACACTCTTTTTTTGGGCCTTTTGCTGTTTGATTGATTTTCTGGTGCATCGAACAAGAGTATGTACAGTTTTGGATTTCAAAGTACAAAATGAATTGATCTCAACTTTTAACTTAGCGTCCAGATTAATTTTGGTTATTTACCTTTGGATGAGAAATGACGGAGGATCTCGGAGGCCTTTATTAATAATTGTTAGATTCTGAACTATGCTGACAGTACTTGGTGACTTACCCCTGTTGAAAGAGATAAGCAGTCTGAAACTTGATAAAGGTATTAATGGCATTCGTATTAGTTGCTAGTAGTGGGCTGGTGAGATTTTTATCGGGTTCATATTGTTTATAAATCACAAGCAGACTGGAGGTAATGTAAAAGTACTAAATATTTATGAGAATTAAGTATTAAATTCAGGGAATTTCATGGTAAATTCCAGGTACCTCATCTTGCCTATTGATCTGGACCTTTGTATTTATAAATTTACATGGTAATCGGCAGGAAAAGGAGGGAAGTTTCTGAAACTTGATAAAGGTATTAATGGCATTCGTATTAGTTGCTAGTAGTGGGCTGGTGAGATTTTTATTGGGCTCATATTGTTATAAATCACAAGCAGACTGGAGGTAACGTAAAAGTACTAAATATTTATGAGAATTAAGTATTAAAGTCTGGGAATTTCATGGTAAATTCCAGGTACCTCATCTTGCCTATTGATCTGGGCCTTTGTATTTATAAATTTACATGGTAATCGGCAGGAAAAGGAGGGAAGTTTTCTGGTGGGTTTGATATCAATGTCTTCCAGAAGGTTCACGAGACGGGTCTGTTAGTAACCATGCTCTTAGCTTATTCAGCTATTCACTAGTTTTTGATTTAGTTGCTGGCTTATTTATCTATAATTTGTATTCATTTCCTGACAGGGGACGTGTCACTTATGCCTGATGTATCTGTGGAGCTCTTGTGCAACACCATTGAAGGTCCCAATTTAAATCTCTAAGTCGCTCATACTTCTATTTCAGAAAAAAAAAATCTCTAAGTCTCTTCAAATCATTACGTGGAATTTATTTTGAGAAGGAAACGAATAATTAGATCGATTACAATTTTGTTTATCATTCTTATCACTTGCAAATTATTGATGATGTTTTCCCCTTAACAAAAGATTGCCAGAAACCCGTTGTTGCGGCTGTAGAAGGACTAGCTCTTGGTGGAGGCTTAGAAGTAGCAATGGTTTGTAGTTCCCTTTTGGCAGTCATCTTTTGTAACAATTTCTGTAATTACAATTGCTGGACAGCTACATTATCCATGTAACTATCTTGCAGGGGTGCCTTGCACGCATTGCCACTCCAAAAGTTCTGCTAGGGTTGCCAGAATTGACGCTTGGAGTGATACCAGGGTTTGGAGGTAATTGCTTTTGTTTGCAGTCAGCACAGTCACATTTATGGTGGCTTTTCTTTTAATAATTTTGAACTGAAAGAACAAATAACAATCAATTTTATTTGTTTAGGAACACAACGCCTTCCAAGGCTGGTGGGACTCACAAAGGCCATCGAGATGATGTTGGTAATGATCTCTTCCATGGTTTTTTGTCTATATATGACTCATTTTTCCCATGGACATTTTATAGGGAGGAGGAAGCAGAGGAGAAAAACTCTTTTGAAGTGTATTCATTGTTGAATCAAAAATCTAATTTAAAAAAATTATAGATACAATTTTTTATCATCTAAATCTATTAATTCTTAAGACAAGATTTTTTTTAAATTACAACATGGATAAATAGAAATTTTTTGATATCCTTGTAGGTATCCCTATCCATAATTATTTAGTCTCTAATTATTTCGGAGAAAATCATTTTTTGATAGAGAAAAAATTTTG